CCAAATCCACACTGTAGTGTCCATGCATAAAGATGCTTTCACCAAGAACAGAAGCAATGTGGCAATATGCTAGTAAGGCCAGCACTTTTTTTCTACATATAACTTATGAGCCAAAGCTTTAGTTTTTAAAGATCTTCCAAAATATTTCTATTGCTTCCTCAAATACAGAGACTGCCTCATTTCCTACAAATTGTTTTTCTAATTCTGTTCAAGAATATCGACTTCATTAAAACTTTAAAGACTTAATCCTGAGTTATGGCTTGATGAGATCTCTGTGGGATGAAAGAAATCAAGAGATCACAGTACCTGCTATTTTATAATGTTCTTACAGTGGAAACTTAATTTGTTGATGAGAATGCACTGCTGTAGAGAAAATAAGATTAAAACAAATACACACACGCACACTCAAAATATCAGTTTAAACTGTAGGGTGGGTTTCTGAAGAGAAAAGCTTGTTTTTTTTTTTATTTTTTTAACACACATCAAGCCAAATATCATTTAATTAGGCCGATTTTGTAGTTGAGACATGAGTCAGACTTTTAAAAAAGAAAATACAGTAAGAGTCCTTCCTATAAATGTAAAGTATCATCTGTCATATCTTGATCTATATATTGACCAGAAAGTATTTTAATCTATAAAAATCTAATTTATGTTCCATAAATCCCATGATTAAGCATTATTTCCCTTTTTCATCAATTTTCTTGTTGAAGTTTCTATATTCTGTAATGTTTTCTTCATCTATATAAAAGAATGTCTTTGACAGTAAAATGTTGAATGATTGTGCTGTTAAATTCTATACATCTACCAAAACAAGTTGGAAGGATACTGAAATATTTTTAACAACACAATTTTTATAACAGCAGAAATAAGGACTCAGAAAAAAAAGACAAATGAAAAGCAATGAAATTTAGTAACATTTATACTTACTTATTTGATTTATTTTACCCACTCAGCGTAAATGTACTGCATCATTTTTAAAAGAGAAGGGCCTAGAAAACCTAATACTTAAGTCATGAAAAATATCTAATGTTTTTTTGACTAGGAATTTTTCCTGATTGCTGATTTTTTTAATGATCTGGTTTAAGGGAAGGAATTAAAATGATATAGAAAAGTAATAAAAATTTAAAAATCACTTAAACTACATAGATTTAGGCTTATCTTGTCACTCTATGCCTTCCAGAGCACTCTCATTTGAAAAATGAATGAGTGATACTGGATGACCTCCAAGGTCCCTAGTCTCTCCAACATTCAGAGAGTTGACAAACAGTTTCCCCTTTCTTGATTATGAATGTTATCCATTACGTGCAGTAACTTTTGAGTCAAAACAGAAATGCTTTTGGAGTCAACTGTTTGTACAGGTGTTTCTATACAAAAGTGGAACCAATGTTGGAAATGAATGAGCTATGTAATTCGCGTGGACATGCTAAGAGCCCAGATGCAGCAAATTAAGTGGCGTCAACATTTTAGCAAAATTTTTAGCAGACCTGGCCCATACAGGTATTCCACACATAAATAATAACCCAAATAATAATACAAGCATGCTCTCTTCTTTATCACAAGGTACAAACAGAAATGTTCTACAGACTTTTTTTGGTTTGATGACTTCAGCCAACTTGCCAGTTCAAGGTCTCCAAAATCTCATTTCCAAAGAGCTGCAATCCATACAGTGCCTAAGGGACTAACTATTGCTATGCTATCTGTATGTCTTCACTATTCGAGTTATTGCTATAATGCATGCTAGCTATGGGATGGTCATCTTAGCACCCTAGCTGCCTGACTTAGCCTATACCACCTCCTACCAGTTACCTCCTGTACTGTGCACTATCCCTGTTCTAATTACAAAATAATAATAACCACAACAAGAGTGGCGATGGCAGCAGCAGCAATCCCTAATGGTAAAAATAAATGCAAAATCTACAAAAATTATTTCTATCCGTTAATACGAGACACCCAGCTTTTTTATACTACTTTTTCCAGTGTTGTGTTATGAAGAGCACCAGCAAGACAAGTCAAATGGATCTAGTTCTAGTCCTAATTTTGCCCCAATCTAGCTACATAATCTTCTATAAATTACCAACTTGCTCTGATTCTAGGATTCCTCATCATAAGTAAGGAGTCCGCTGCACCATCCCAGGATAAGCCGTCACACTGTGCTCCTGGGACGGCATTATTAAAGCTTCTGGTGTGCACCACGGCACTGGAATTGCATGCTATGAGATCCTGCACTGTCACCTCTCAGGTTTCAATCGTACAATATCATGATTTTAAAAGTCTGAACCCTTTACCGTGTAATTTCCATACTCCCACTGTGTTGACAAAGTTTCAACCTTATACGCATCAGAACTTAGTGAACTAAGATAAGAAGCAGAGCGACACTTAAGATGTTACCCGTGAAATCAGAAAAACAACTGTGTCCTCTCCCATCCAACATCTGACTTAGTTTCACTGCCTCAGCTCCATTCCCTTAGAAAGTCTGGTCAATGGAACATGTGTCTCAATGACGGAATTTCAGAGTGGAAATTCTTTATTAGGACCACGTATTCCATTTCCCCACTTTATTACGACTTGTGACTCAGTTCATAAGGGAATGGCTTAGGAGGAGAAGTGATTTCAAGAATAACTCAAATGTTAAGTGAAGGTAACATCAAATGCTTACAAAACAAATTCCCTCAAATAGCTTTTCTTTTTGGTGTTTAGCAACTTCCTCCCAATCCAGCTAAAGAATTCTCTCTGGAATTGAGATGTGGAAGGTGCTACCTCTCTATAAATAGGTTCATCCCATGCTATGTGAATCATGGTTGCTGACAGCAAATCAACAGACTAATTATTTGGCTTTGTTAGTAGCGATAATAGCACGCTAACATCTTTCCAAATCTTTTTCCGCACCCCACACTCCGATTCTTCTAAGCTAAGCTTCAGTCCAAACTGCAGGCCATGGTGTACATGTTGGCCTTGTGCTGGGCATGTCTTAACAGGGCCTGTGATCGCTCAGCCAGATTATTATTGTGAGACGTTAGCTAAATAAAATAAGTCACCAGCCAGGATCCTCTCTGCCAAGACGTACACTACGGAAATGGAAAAGGGGAGCGGATTAAATAAACACTTTAGAAAACAATAAACTCAGCAATTCCCTCAAATTCTATTTTCTAATGAGATGCTAAGGAAAGAGCCACAGGAAGCAATGTCCCCATGTAAAATTAAGCCATGCAAATTGTTCATCTCCGAATCATCTTCCACAAGGATCAGGTAAGTCACCCAATCATTTTTATTGCCTGGTTTAGAAGTGAGGAGGCTGGGCAGGCTCTATTCAAAAACATCACTTAATCATCCCAACTAGAGTACAAGAACGTACTTCAAAGACTGAAATATGAGAAAAGTTACACTGAATTCAGAGCCTTGAAATTCCTTGTAGGCCACACGAGCCCTCAGAGAAGATGACTCCCAAATGGTCCCTGCACAACAGTACAAGGGATTTTATTTGCCCCCACATGAATTATTATACTCTATAAATACAGAACTCCAGTTTTCATAGAAAGTTTCACCTTATGAAATTAATAGGCCATATTAATTGTATGTAAATCAACAGAGATTTTAGTAGCTCTCGCCTTGGGATCACCATCTCACTGTTTACTCCTGAAATGTACTATTTTGATCGACATCACAGAATAAGAGAAAGGGTCCACTTTGGAGGGAATCATGTCATGAAAACCCACGGGAAAAATGAAAATGAGATGTCTTCTTCTTAAGACTTAACACTAAATTTCTAAACTAATTCTGAGCCTCACCCGGCCACACTTTCCTAATGCTTTCCTCACCCCAATGACCCTAGCCCATGTTTCATTTCTGGAACCCAGGAGAACATTACAGTCAGAGTTGCAAAGATGCTAACCGAAACCAGTCAACTGATCACAGAGCAAGCTTTCTATCCGGGCCATATTTCCTTTCGGTTGACCACACCAAGGGGAAGGTATCTGCAAATTGCAAGTGATCCGGCAGGCCACACCCTGAGGATCAATGAAGCCTGGTGGAAGCACAAATCTGGGCAAGTCTGCTTTCATCCTCTCAAGCTGGCCTGGTTTGAGCTGGGAATAAGTACTTGGAAAGGTATCCACTTTCCACTTTGTAAATAAAGATCACACTGAGGACCAACCATGTGAGTTGAGGGACAAAGAAGAGAACTTCAGAAAGGCTCGAACAAGAAAATCTCTGTGAAATCTAAAGTTGTTTTTTTTTTTTCACACTCCCTTAGGCCCAACTGCAGATACCATGTCTTTTCCTTAATGTCCCAAAAGAAAGTGCGAGTGTGGAAAGGATGGGAGCAATAGGGCAGAAAAGTTCATGACCAGAACCCTGGGAAACCAAGAGAGTGCTGGAGGAAAAGAACAGGAAAAAGAGGTCTGTGGACAAGGAAGTAAAGGGGCATGTGGGAAAGTGGGGAGGTGAGAACCCCCTGGAACCTCTGAAAGATGCAATATCAGGTGTTGCTGGAGGAAGAGTTAGAAAACGAAAAAAAAAAAAATTAGGCTCATCTGGTGTCTACTCAGTGTCATTGTCCAGAACTATGCTAAACGTCAGGGGAGATAACGTTTGTTCATATTTGGGTCTTCAGCAGGCAGTATGCGCACTGGATGGATGGATGGATGGATGGATGGATGGATGGATGGACGGACTGACGGACGGGAAACAGAGAAAGGGGTTAGGAAGGAGCCGGCCGCCGCCCTCAAGGATCCTACAGGCTTTATGGGACCAGGAGCATCTAGCCAGGTAGCCCTCATCCTAGTCAAGCCCAGGGTTCATCAAGATAATGAAGTGTTTTCCTGAATGTGGGACTAGAAGCTACCAACTGCCCGAGGGTGATTGAAAGAGAGACGTCCGGAAATGAGGGGAGAAGGGGGGCCCCAGGGGGGACCCCGGTTCCCTCGGGCGGGTGCCCCGGGCGCTCTGCAAAAGGGGAGAGGGGCGTGCGCTCCGGGGAGCCCACCGCCCGGGCTGCTACTGACCTGGTCTCCGCCTCACCGGCCTCTTGCGGCCGCTGCAGAAGCGCACTTTGCTGAACACCCCGAGGACGTGCCTCTCGCACAGGGAGCGCCCGTCTTTGCTGGGGCTGGAGCGGCGCTTGGAGGCCGACACCCGGTCGCTGTTGGACTCCCTCGCCTGCCGCTTCTGGCGGATCAAGGAGCTGGCTATCGCCGCAGCCATAGCTGCTCAGCGCGGGCCCCAGGCCCGGCTCCCCTGCGCCCTCGGGTCCGCGCTCCGCCGGGGCGAGGGCCGGACCTCGGCGGCCTGGAGGGCCGGGGCAGGCGCGGGGAGGCAGTGCTAAGGTTTGAGGAGCCTGCGGTGCCGAAAACCCGACGCCCACAAGGTTAGTCAGAGTCTGGGCAGTGGCGACAAAACGTGTGAAAATCCAGATGTAAACTTCCCCGACCGCTGGCAGCGGGGCGGGGCGCTCCCAGGCCTTCCAGTTAACTAGACTCCTGCGCCCCAAACTTGCACCCTCCCCCGGCGATCCGCGTCCAAGGGGCGGGCGGGGGGGGGACTTTGGTCACACTGCGTTCAGAGTCCCGAGTGGAAGGGTCGGAAGGATGTCCAGAAACAACGAGCCGTGCCCCCGCTGGGGAGGCGCAAGCGTGGCAAGGTGTCCGAAGTGCATCCACACATACAGACATATAAAACCCGTTTGCAAAGCAGAGTCCGGGCCGAGGCGGGTAGCGTGCCCCCCGGTAGAAAATGCTAAAAAGTGAACAAAACGTTCCTTTGGAAAACAAGCCACCAACCGCCAGCCAGAGGGAAGGAGAGGAAGGCAGCAATCTAACTCCCTGCGGCCCGCAGTTCTGGAGGTTAGGAGGTCCGTCCCGGCTGGGTGAGGTCTACGGAACGCATCGCGCCGGCTGCGGTTCTCCAGGGCCCGGCCGCCGGAGTTCTGCAATTCCGAGAGGCGCGAAGTGGGAGCGGCGAGCCGGAGTCCGGGTAGGGGCGCGGGCGCGGGGCGCGGGGAGCGGGCGCGGGGCGCGGGGCGCGGGCAGCTGTTTCCAGCTGCGGTGCGCGCGCCTCCCCGCCGGCCGCGCAGCGAAGAGAGCGGGAGGCGAGGGGAGGGGGAGGGAAGGAGGGCCGGGGAAGGAGGGAGGGAGGGAGGGGTGGAGGGAGGGAGGGAGGGAGGGAGGGAGGGAGGGAGGGAGGGGTGGAGGGAGCGAGGGACGGACGGACCGAGGGAGGGAGATCCTCGAGGGCCGAAGCACCCCTCGGGGAGAAGCCCGCGGGAGGCGAGCGCCGGGGATGCGCGGGGTCCCAAGAGCGGGCGCTCTTGCTCTTTCGGCTCGCTTTCTGGCACAAGACGGGCACAGTTGGTGATTATTTAGGGAATCCTAAATCTGGAATGACTCAGTAGTTTAAATAAGCCCCCTCAAAAGGCAGCGATGCCGAAGGTGTCCTCTCCAGCTCGGCGCCCACACGCCTTAACTGGAGCTCCCCGCCGTGGTCCGCCCGGGGCCGCCGCACCGAGCCGGTCTCCGCACAGGCTCCGAGGGAAGCGAGGGAACGGGGAAGGAGGGGGCGCCCTGGCGGGCTCGGGATCAGGTCATCGCCGCGCTGCCCGGGCCCCCCAGGCGCGCGCGCGGCCCGCGGGTGCGCAGCTGGCAGGCGGCAGGTCAGCTGCGGCTCAGCCGCCGCCCGCGAGGCCGACCCCCGGCCCCCGCGCAGCCCATCCCGGCCGAGGACGGAAGGCAGCGGCGCGCGGCGAACCCCCGGCGCGGCGGCTCGGGAGGGGCGGGGGCTGGCTGCGGGCGACGGCGGCTCCAGGCGGCTGCGGCTGCGGCTCCGGCTCCGGCTCCGGCTCCGGGCCGGGGCTGCCCACCGCGGTCCGGCGCCGGGAGCGCAGGCGGGGCCCCCGAGGCCGTCCCGGGCGACGGCGGGGGGCTGCGCCGCGCGCCCCCCGGGGCCGCCGCCAACTCGCCCAACTTGGCGCGCGGGTGGCCGCTCAGCGCCGCCGCCTCCCCAGGCCCCGGAGGGGGCGCTCAGGGCGGAGTCCCATTCATGGGCAGAGGCTGGGGCGCCCCCGCCGCCGCGCAGCCGGCTCGCTCCGCTGGGAACTCCAGGCGGGGACGGCGGCCGCGGACACGCACGGGGGACGGCAGCCGGCGGCCGCCCGAGCAGCGCTGGCGCGGCTCCCCTCCGCCCGAGGGCTGGGCAGCGCCCGGGGGGCCGGGCCGGCCGGGGGTCGGGCTCCCGGCGCGCAGGGAGGCGCGGGCGCTCGGGTCCTCCTCCCTCCCAGGCGCCCTCGGCTCCCAGACTCTCTTCTCCTCCCTCCCTGCCGTCACCCCTCTCCCCCTTCTCCGTCTTGTGTCTCTCCCCTTCTCTCCTCTCTACGCAATCCTACGTGATTGAGGTTTGGATGAGAAATTCTCAGAGGCAGAGTGAAGGAACTGCAGCTCGGGTCTGTGGCGTCCCGTCCCTCCCCCAAGAGAAAACACAAGCACCGGCCGGTTAAAGGCCCCCGAGTGCACAAAGAGGGGGGCTAGGAGGGGGGAGGAGCTGAGGGACAGCGTCCACCCTCTCTCCCTGAAGCTGGCGCACGCAGAATTCTCGGTTTAGGAAGGAAGGCAGTGGACCCTGGAGAAAGTAACAATGGCCTTTCGGGCCCTAACGTCGAGCCCCACCTCCAGCTCATTTTGTAACAGGATAAAGTGCTTCCGCATCCCTGAAACCCAGTTTTCTTGGTTCTGTCCAGAAAGCTGCAAAGCAGGTCCTCTCTCCTTAAAATGAGGGATCTGAGTGAGCACCCCGCACAGAGAGGAGAATGCAGGAGGGGTGACGGGGTGACTGTGGGCAAGGGCAGTCAACAACCGGCCTTGGAGTGCAGTCCAGGTCTCCAGGATGCTTGTGAGGGCAGGTGTTACAGAAAACTCAGCAGAGAAGATTCTGTCACCCAAGTTGAAATGCAGCATGAAAGATCTTGGAAAGGGAAAGGGATAATCACCTTCCATTCCTGCTAAGGTCTGGACCTGGCTCTTCGTTGTATTTAAAAATCTCTCTTCAACTTGTCTTCAGATATCCCTAATCCTGCGCCTCGTCTCTCCACTAAGCATAAAGGGTAGTGCTAGAAGATTAAGTGGATGATTTCCAACAGAAACGAGCATATGTTCGAGACATCCGAATAGAGGGCATGGACCGTGCAGGCCCAGGAAGCTACTGGATAGGGGACCCGGAGGAGAGGTCCCAGAACTCTCTGGATGTGGGCACAAATCTAGCAGAAATTCACTTAGGCAATGAGAAGGATTGAGGCCTCTGAGGCTGATTACAGGGAGCGCTGTGTCAAACAAGCCTAGGGTGTCTGGGGGCCTGGATATTTGGTGCTGATGCTGGACATAACAGAAGCAGATGGAGGGTTTATGGGGTGGACAGCTAGGAGGAGCATGGAATAAGCAAGGCTCCGGAGAGGAGTGAATCCCAATTGTCCACACGACACAATCCCCTTCGGCAGTGCAATGTGACTCAGTAAGGACGGTGAACTTGGGATTCTAACTATATAGAACAAGACAGGTAAAAAAGACAAACACACGCACATACACACTCCTCCCAAAGTAAAGCTGAATACATTTTCAAAAATGCATCCCAATAGGGCAAGGAATCAATTGATAACATTGTCAATTAGGGAAGTGTTCACATTTCACAGATAAAATCATTTTCCTTCCTTGGCTACCAGAAGAAACTTGCCTCATTGTCGAGGAAGGCAGGCACAGACAGTACTGGCTGGCTTTGGGGGCCCCTGGCCTCTTGCAGCTCAACACCCCAAAAGGAAAAGGTCAGCTAAGGTGAGGAATACAGGGAAATGGGCAAGCGAGGGGTGTGTGGTGAGGCCCTGAGGAAATCAATGCTAAACTTGGAGTATCTTATCCTCAAAATGGGCATAATCATTCCCATCTACCTCACAGAACTGAATATGTATGTGCAAGCATTTTGAAAACTGGAAAATGCCAAATGAGTGCAAGAGATGATGACTGTTTGTTTTTATTTTTTTTTAAGAAAATGCATGATACTCTTCTGAGATGCTTTTTTTAAATGCAGATTCCCAATGGTTTCTCAGAACATGAAGCATAAGTCTCTGAGTAGTGGAGGCCAGGAATTTGAGTTTTTAACAAGTTTTTCATGTGTCAAAGCTTGAGAGTTTTATTCACACTCATACACACACACACACACACACACAAACACACACAATGTAGATAATACTAGGAGGAAGAAATTAACTCAGCCTCTCCAAATCTAGCACTTCCACAGAATTGTAATCCTGTGGTTCCCACTCCCCCAAAAAGAAAAGCCTGGGAAGAGAATGTGTGTTATCTAATCTTTGCATGTGTTGGGTCTTTTTTTTTTTCTGCAGGTTTATGCAAAATGAACATAGTTTGATGCAGAAGGAAACCAATGTGGTGGCACAAGATAGAAGAGGGTGATGGGGCAGGAGATGAAAAATCAGACAACACTTGTTTGAAGTTCTCCTCTTGGTCTTGACATGCCAGCATCAAGTCAGGCGTTTAAGGAACAAAATAAAAACAACAAATGGGAGCTTTCTGAGAGTGACACTATTCCTGTCTTTAGATCTCTATTACAAGAATGTGGTGTTTTCCATTCGATTAGACAACAAAGACTATCTTCTTCTTGCACCTCTGAAGCTGTTGTCAGAGTGCTCCTTTGGCTGCTGAGCCCTGGCAGTCCTCCTCAGCATCCTTTACTTTATTTACTCCATTTCCTCAACGAGAAGAAGAGGTAAGTCTCAGGACCTCTGAGAAGTTATCTAGGATCTCTGCACACAACTGTTTAGTTTAGAAGCAAAGTAGCTTCTAAACGTTAAGTCAGCTTTTTGTTATCCAGAAATTCATAACCTGGGCCACCAAATGTCAGGAATCTTCCTCCACAGTTACACGGGCATTTCAGCATCTCCGCGTTTGGGCATCAGGAATGAGATTAAATCAGCCTACTGATGACTTAGGTAAAACAATTTTTAAAGGGCAATATCTCAGAGATAACAATACCTTGATGTTTATGATGTCTTTCTTTGACCAACTTGAAACTCTTACCTTCACAATTTTGAAGGCATCATGGTTGGAAGCAGTTTTAATTACTTTGGAGAAAGTTGTCAGATACACACTGAAAGGATACTTACGGAGTTGTGTTTCTATTTCTGACCTCGACTCAAGCAAATAAAGCATGGACAGTCTTAATCATGTCCATATTTTAAAAGCGAAAAACACAGAACGTTAAATAGTCTTTCCCTTACACACATGCCAAGCCTTCTAACTTTCACCATCAAACTCTTAGGGTCACTGTCACTTGAAACCTTGAATCAAGCACAGGGTACATACAAGGCTCTACTTTGGTTATCAAGGAGAACTCTATACACCCACTAAAATCTTCCTGCCCTCAATGAACTTACAGTACATGTCATCAGGAACTTACTTAACTCTTAATCACCCACTAGCTGTATGCTACTGGACAAGTTATCCAGTCTGTCTAAACCACATTTGCAAAACAGGTCAGCGATCACGACACCAGCAGTACCTATCTAACTGAGCTGTTGCAAGCCTCAAAGAAGATGTGATAATAACATTAAGTATTAGAATGAGCATGCTGTCATTAAAATATCCATTTAAGGGGATCCCTGGGTGGCTCAGCGGTTTAGCACCTGCCTTCGGCCCAGGGTGTGGTCCTGGGGTCCCCGGATCGAGTCCCGCTTGGGGCTCCCTGCGTGGAGCCTGCTTCTCCCTCTGCCTGTGTCTCTGCCTCTCTCTCTCTCTGCGTCTCTCATGAATAAAGAAAGAAAATTAAAAAAAAATATATATATATATATATATATTTAAATCAAGTCCTGTCGTAAAACCCAGACTTCCCAAAACAGGAAAACATACCTTGTGATTCATACACATCATCATTCACTCCTGGACGTGATGTATTTAATGAAGGATGGATCTACTTGAAATGAATGATTAACCTTGACATTGTAATGGCAAACAAAATTTTCATTAGTGGAATATTGTCAATGTCCTTGC